TCATTTCTGATATATATATATATATCCACCGCTTATGTGGCATTTGTCACATAAGCAGTGGTCAAAATAAAATTCAAAAAGTATTCAACGTGCCCCTCACTCCTCCCCCCCCAGCGCACCTACCATTTCTTCAAATTCAATGAACAACTGATGATAGAATTTTTTCGCCCACCCCATTAAACAATCCACCGACCACCCATCCCACTTAAATATTACATGCACCCAACACATGAAATCACCGTCTCTCTGGGTGAAAAAATCACAAATTTCATCTTTCAACCTTTCAAGTTTCATCTCCGATTCTGCTTTCGGTTCCATAATAAGGTAATAATGTTAATTTTTTTAAAATTTATTTGTTTACTATGTCTTTCTTATAACTAATTTTTTTTTTATAATTAATGTTTTTGTTTATTCCCATGTTCCCTAAATGTCATTTTTTTGTGTTGTTATATTTCAATGTCATTTGAATTAATCCCTAAGTATATTGCCTAATTTGAACTAATCAAAATATTAATTTTTGTTTGAAACATTTTTGTATAAGGTTTTTGTTAGGTATGGATTCACAGAGTGAAGATAATGTATATGTTCCTTAAGTTTCCATCACGCGAATTTCCGAAGTTGGACAGGAGTGTCAATCACATGAGGAGGCTTACGTTTTTTATAATCAATATGCACGAGAAGTGGGTTTTAGTGTACAAATAGCCAACTCTGAGAAGAAGAAAGAAACAAATGAAACGTATTGGGAATTATTTGTTTGCTCTAAGGAAGGGAAAACGAATGACACATATCAGCAAAAACTAAAGATTCTATGCCACGTGCTAGGGAAAGAAGATGTGGACATACACTGATACACGAGTTGGCTGCAATGCAAAAATATCTGCGATAATGCAAGGAATTGAAGACTTATAGGTTGTGAAAAAAGTTGTGAAGGAACATAACCATCCTCTTACTACACCTAGTAGAGTTCATTTGTTAAGATCACATCGCATTGTCACGGCCACGAAGAAGGCACCCACGAAGCAATTTTCAGAAGCCAAGATACCTACGTGTCAGCAATTGCGATTAATGGAGATAGATTTAGGCGGTCCTTCATAAGTTGGGTGCATAGAGAGAGACAAATCTATTGATGATAAGAAAATGGGAAAAATCATGCTTTTTTATTGTCCACTTTAGTTGAGTCAAATATTAAANTGAGTCAAATATTAAAATATTTTTAAAGATGTCAAAAATATATCGATATTGGTCTCATTTTAAAGCCCAAGTTAAATAAAGTATGTTACACTGGAAAAAAAAAATATTTTCTAACTATTTAAGCTCAAGTTATCCCTATTTAAAGATACATATAATTTTCTCTAATATTTTATTAATAACTTTTGATTTGTACGTAAGCAGTGGTCCCATGACTTTTGATTGTCTTTTAGCCCCCACCCTCCCCCAGCTAGGTATCCATCTCCATATTCATGCATTGTAAGCAAATATCAAGGACAAATCAAAAGTTTATTAATAAAGAGGAGTGCTATACGTACAGGATAAGTTTCACAGGGGGGTGGGGTGGTTTTGTACCAGGTAACTCACATGCAAGGGGGTGGGGTTTTTATTTTATTTTTTTAACAAATGGTGGGCCCCACACATCATGTGAGGGGCCTGTAAATTGCCTGGCAAACTGCTCTTGTACTTGGAGCATTTTTCATTAATAAAACATTAGAGAAAATTATATGTTTTTTAAATAGCGATAACTCGAGTTTAACTAGTTGGAAAATATTTTTTTTTCATCTGTTGGGTGGATGTAATATTTAAGTGGAATGGGTGATCGGTGAGTGTTTAATGGGGTGGGTGGAAANAATCACAACCATCATAAATATTTATTTGTTTTTGTCAAACATGAATTAAGAAAAATTAGATTAAGTCCTGAAGTATAATCTTCGTGGGAACGATATTCGAACTCAAAGGTCCATTATATAGCTTGTTACGATATCGTACACTTGCAATATCTTCTATATATTAAAAGTGGCTATGTAACGGAATTTCTTGTTTTTAACGGAAAAACTAACTGAATTTGTTGTTTTAACGGACTATGTAACGGAATTTCTTGTTTTAAACAGGCAGCTGCACCTTCCTTCAGTGTTTTTATCATATGTATTCCGATGTCCGATTGAGGCGATTCAAAATGCTTTGAAAAGCTAACTCATCTGACTACAACTTTGATTCAAACATCATTCTCCAATTCGATCACTTTCTATGTCACAAATAGGTCTCAATATGAGACTAAAACATCGGAGCATAACTTTTCGGTTGGAAATTGATTTGTGATCATCTTTTGCCTAAATTTGATTCCATTGACGTCTTCATTTATCCAATTGACTCCGAGCACTCTCAAATCTTCATCGTGAGGTTCGGTACAACTTTTAAGTATTTACATTTTAGTCCCCGAACTTTGGATCCCTTACAATTTAGCCATTTCTCCAAATTTGTCAACTTTTGCTTATTTTCTTCGATCTCACCAACTTATATCACAACATCAAAATCACACATCTAATTATTTATCAATTACATAAACATTACATCATTAATTATTTAATTAACCAAAAAAATTACATCTTTATTAATAACAAATTAATTCGTAAACAAAACTATTAAATATAAATTAGGCAAACGTGCATTGCACGTTGCTTGCACCTAATATGTGTGTGTGTGTGTGTGTGTGTGTATATATTTATATATATATATATATATTTTTTTTTTTGGGTAAAAATCGAAAACACAAAACATCTTTTTGTAAAAATGAAATTGGTTTTTTATGAATTCACCAACATCAACAAAATCATGATATTAAGATAATTCAATGTAAGATAGCAAAATCAAAACAAATTCAATATAACCGAAAGGAGTTTGAACAAAATACCTATATCCATTGACTACTCGTTTTCCCCGAATTGTTTTCTTTGTGATTCTATTCAACATGTGGTCACAATATAGATATAACCCAGAATGAAACTCTATTGAAGCCAATTTATCATAGGCGCGGAGAATGATTCTTCAATGTCACCATTGTTGTCCTTGTCGTATCATCTATTCTTGATTTGAGTTTGATTTCCCACGTATTCAACTTTTTCAATTAATTCCATCTGTTTCGATTATGCCTCGACAATTTCAGTCACGAATGAAAGAAGGGAAAGTCTTGGTTATAGTATTTTTGGTTTTCTTTTTGTGTGATGCAGAAATTTTAGTTTTTATTTTAGTTAAATTGTATAAAATAAAATTTTATATATTTGTAAGATATTTATGATTTTTTTCCATGTAAGAAAATTGGGATTGAAATTAAAATTAAAATTGCAATTTTATTCTATTATGGTTCTATTGTACAGTTGACAGGCAAACTCTTGGGCCAAAGCTGCTTGAATTCCAGCCCACATTGGGCCTCATTTCATTGGGTCCTATTTTCCCCCCATTTTGCAGCAATTCATCAATGAGAAATTATAAAAAATCAGGGGTTTAAACGTTATTTTTTAAAATTCAGGTCTAATGTTTATTTATTCAAAAATCAGGTCATATATAAAAGCCTAATTGATATCCCTAATCACTAATTCTCCACTCTATTTCAGTATTTCTCCAGTTTCTTGTCTCTCTCGCGGCACTCTTTCTATATCAATCCCTGAAGCGGCGCTATAGTGGCCGGTCGGCCGGACGAAGGTGTTGCATCGGTCGGCGACGCTTCAGCATCGAGGCTACTGAGACGGCAATCGCTCTATCACTCATCAGTCTCTCTCTCTCTAGCTGCTTCAACAGTAGAAAGCTGAGTCCAGTCTTCACCGGTGGGCCTGGAATAGATGAAGTTCCCCCTATATGGGTTGACAGAGCTGGAGTTAAAGCCAACATTACAGAGAATTTCACCCGTCAAAGCAAATTTACTTACGGACTTGTGATGGAGGAGATAACGACCCGTGATGAAAGCAGTCACATTTCTGTAAATGGTCAAAGAGTGTTGCCAAATGGAGGAGTTAGTGCTGATGGACCCTCGACAACACTCAGTGGCACTGGTGTTGACCATATGGCATTTTTACAAGCCAATATCACCCGTGACAATACAAAATTCGTGAATGGGGCTATAGTTGGTGAGAGAAATGTGTTCCAGCTTGATCAAGGGCTTGGTGTTGGAAGCAAGTTCCCATTCTTTAACCGGCACCAGTTAACAGTGACCCAATTTTTCCAATTGAAGCAGATAGAGGAAGCTGCTGGCAAGCCTCCACCACCTGTATTAGTCCTTCATGGCCATTATGGTGGTTGTGTTGGAGATCTTCCCAGTTACAATGCTTTTACTTTGGGCGGTGCCGACTTTTTGGTTTTTTTTGTTTATGTTTGTAAGTTTCATATTGGAGACGGTGTTGGTGGTTTGGCAGTTGGGTGCTGGTGGTTGTGAAGTTGGCTACGGGTGGTGGTGTTTTGTGCGGCGACGATTCTGTGGTTGTAACTGTGGTGTCGGAACTGGTGGTTTTTTGTGGTGGTTTTGGAGATGACGGTGATACTACTGGCTGTCTTGGTGTTTGGGTGGTGGTGATGTTGGTCGTGGTGGTTGTCGTGGAGGCGGTGGTAGTGGTCATGGCGATATTGCAGAGGTGGCGGATCTGATGATTTGAGTTTCCTGTGACCTTAAAATTAAGTAATCCGTGACTGAAAATATTTTCTGTAACCAACCATTTGTTATCTGTGACCTAAAAATTATATAATCTGTGACCGTTAAAAAATCTTTGACCTTAAAATTAGGTAATCCGTGACTGAAAATATTTTCTCTGACCAAACATTTGTTATCTGTGATTTAAAAATTATATAATCTGTGACCGTTAAAAAATCTGTGACTAATTAATTTGGAAATCTGTAACCGTAAGACCTATAAATGTTGATCTGTGACCAACTAATTTTGAAATCTGTGACCAACAAATTAATTGTGACCTTCAAAATTTTTGAAATGTGACCGTAAAATAATATGTGACGTATAAAAATTATTATTTGTGACTAACTAAATTGTAAATCTGTGACCGGAATGATCGCCGAAATAGTCGTCGGAATCAGAGTAGTCGTTGGAATGGTCGCCGGAATAGTCACCGGAGATGAGTGGTGGTCGGAATGGTCACCGAAATGATTGCCGGAATGGTCGTCGGAATCGGAGTAGTCGTCGGAATGGTCGCCGGAGAATACTGGTGGTCGGAATAGTCGCCGGAGTAGTCCCCGGAGTGGCAGGGGTGGTGCATGTGGGGTGAGTTTATTATATTATATTATATTAAAAAAAAAAACCTGATTTTTGAATTTTCAAACTATAAACATGATTTTTGAATTGGTGTAAACTAAACACCTTATTTATGAATTTTTCCCTTCATCAATTCTTGGTCATGTTTATATACTTAGCAATAGCATTGTTGAGATCAATCTAGATGATAATGAGATCACTACTATATTATTTAATAAAGTTGTAATGTATTTTTTTTTTCTAATTCATGGGATAATGGCCGTAACGGGGCCACTACAACATTATCGAATAAAACTATGAAGCATTCTTATTTGGGAAAATTAGGTTCAATACCCCTAAAAAATAAGAAATTAGAATAATACTATTAAAACTAATTAAAATGTTTAATCCCGTAATTAATACGCCCAACCTAAATCCCCTCAAAACCCCAAAACAACACAATACACACTACTGATTATAGC